TTATCAGGACAGGGCTTTCCAGGTCCTTTGAGGTTCTGTACCATAGGTGGACTTTGGCTCTTACTGTGAAGGAGGCAGGTGTCTGCTGGAGGTGCCTGAAGGAACACGATGATATCACTTAATTTGTTAGAAATTGCTCTCTGGCTACTGAGGGGAGAAGACAGTGCAGATGACTTCAGTCTACGGCAATGGTCCAGGCAAGTGCTCAGTTGCTCCCATGCAGATTAGCGTCAGGACTCTGAGGTTACTGACTCTGGTTGTGTTTGTCCCCCACCCCAGTCTACCTCCCACCACTTTCCCAAGGAGGCCCCGCCCTCAAAGACTCTGTTTACCCACAAGGTAGAACAAGTAAGCATAGGTGGGCATCATCTCCTTAGGTATCATCCAAAGTGCCAGAGGGTATTGCATGGGGTGGTGCCCGCTCCACCCCAAACCCAGGACAACAGGCCTCTGGGGAAGGAATTGGACAGGAACTGCTTTGGCACCAGGAATGGCAGAAGTTGGCTCATGTTTTCAGTCCTGAAAGTCTCTGGGGTGGCGAGATGGCTCAGTTGTTAAAAGTGATCGTCATGTAAACGTGAAGTCCGGAGTTCCATCCCCACGTAAAAGCCAGGTAGCACTGGAGAGGCCAAGACAGAGAAATCATTGAGGTTCACCAGCCTGCCCCAGGTTCAGTGGATCTCCCTGTCTCAAAAACAGCTGAGGGCACTCAGTGTCAACCTCCAGCCTCCACATACAAGTGTTTGCTGCACACATGTCCACACACACATAAAAGGGAAGGAAGAAATCCTTGGTACTGCTAAGTTCCCATGGGTGGCCCTTGCTCTGACTCAAGTCTTTACAAGAACACATGAGGCTGAGGCTCGGTGCAGATGTCTTGTCTAAGGCCTGGGTTCTCTCGTCAATACTGTAAAGTAAACACAAGCCGACTCAGCCAGAGACGACAATCTCCCGCGCTAGATCAACAAACACTGTGTGTGTGTGGGGGGGTGGGTGGGTGTGTGTGTGTGGGGGTGGGTGGGTGTGAACTTGCGGGTGGCCTCTCATCTGCCTGCCTCCCCCTCTCAAACGCTGAGGTTACAGGCAGATGTCATCGTGTCGGGAGATGGAAGGTGGCTTAGTGATCTGCCAGCCCAGTAGCCCCTGACTCTTGTTTGCAAATAGTGCATCAAAACCATGCAGCTAGGGCTTTCCATCTGTCAGTTCAGGGCTGTGGATCAGAAGTGGAAGGGTTTCATCAAATACTCAGAGTGAAGGAGGTGGCTCAGTTAATAACATGCCTGTCGCACAAGCGTGAGACACCCCCCCCCCCCAGCACATATGTGAAGAAAGCAGGTATGGTACACCTAGGCTCATCTGTAGCCTTTTTCAGGAAGGGGAAATGGGGGAGGGATAGACAGGAGGCTCTCATTGCTTGATGGCATCCATTTTAGCCTGTGAGGTTTGAGTTCAGTGAAGGCCCTGTATGCAGAGATCAGGTGGAGAGCAATTGAGGGAGACACCAGTCCTTTACCTTGGGCTTGCCCAAGTGTGCACACACACAGATCACACAAGTGATAGGCTAGGTGCCCCTATGCAGCGTTCACAAGAAGGTTGAGCAGTTGCGGGTTGTGGGGACATCACATCTGGCAGTTAGGCATTTGGGGGCCCTGAAGTTTAAGACCCTCGGTGGGGGAGGGGAGACTCACACCAAGAGATGTTAGGATAACCTCACCCTGGCTCTGTGTGGTGGGACGGTTTGATCACAGAAAGAAACGATGCCTGTTTTGATCTGTACGTCCCCAGGTTTATGTTGGACAGACCACGTTTAGGTTGGCTGGCCGCTTCACATGAAGCATGAGAGCTGCCCCCTTCCCCTGTGTGTGGCTGTGTCTTCCCAGCCAAGGGCTGTTAGCCCTCTGAGCCATTAGCTCATGTGTTTTCCCATTACAGAAGTGGGTTTTATAGCCCGACACTGGGCCCTTTCAGTAAAGCAGGTCACTGTCTGCAAGGGAGCCATAGTGTGTGTGCTTTTCTGCACAGACCCCTGTGTCATTTTGGCCCTAAGAATTATTCTCCTATAACTGACTACCCACCCAGCTCTTCCCCACCGGCAGCTGCCAGGTCTGGTGACGGCATGGCGCTCCCCAGGGGGCATGGAAGCCTCCTGAGCTTCCAGCCCTAAAACATAAGAGGCAGCCCCAAAGCCTGTTGACTTTGTGTCAATACAGCTTTGGGGGGGGGGGTGCTTCTTGGGCCTCCAGAGGGGGTCTGATGGCTTATGGAACCAACTTAGGTCCCCAAATGCTGAGACGCTGAGCCCCTGCCGTCAGCTGTTCAGTTCTCTCTTGGGAGGTCTGAACCGTGGAGGGTCCATTCCACCCATGGCACAAGGGATCCATGGCAGAGAAATAATGCAGGAGCAACTATGGGGTGTGGCAGTCCTGGGGCCCAGGAACTATGGACAGGATGCTGGGCAAAAAGGAAGTGTCGCAGATGGCAGCATGGGGCCACGAGCCCAAACCAAGGGGAAGGTGGGAAACAGTGGGCCAGGGAGGAGCGCACATAGCTAGGGGAGGTGCCACTGGGAACCTTTGAAGAAGATGGCATGAGAGAGTGTGTGTGTGTGTGTATGTGTCTGTCTGTCTCTGTGTGCGTGCCTGTATGACTCTCTCTCTCAGTCTCTGTATGTGTCTGTCTCTCTCTCTGTGTATGTGTGTGTCTGTGTTCTCTGGTCTCTGTGTATGTGTGTGTGTGTGTCTGTCTCTCTCCTCTCTGTCTCTCTGTGTATGTGTCTGCTCCTGTCTGTCTGTCTCTGAGTATGTGTGTCTCTGTCTCTCTGTGTATGTGTCTATGTCTCTCTGTGTATGTGTGTGTCTGTCTTTCTGTGTCTGTGTCTGTACAGCTTCATGAGTATTGGGAACCATATTCTACAGAGAGGAAGGAGTAGGCCTGGGGCTCTTAGTTGGTTTGTGGACAAAGCAGAGGTCCTGTGGCTACAGAATGGTGAGACGCTGGTTAAAGTGGAAGGGTACTGGCTACATCCTGGGGGTGTCACCCAAGTAGAAAGCAGTGATCCTAGTCCTGGGGAGAGGGGCTATCACCTGGCAAGGTCCAGTGATAGATATATGCTCCAAAAAGAAAGGGCAGGCTCAACAGATGGCAGAGCATTCGCATGCTGGCCCAGGAGCCGCCAGATATCGCCTGAGTAGCTGGAGGGAAGGTAGGGACTTCCAGAACTTGACCAGATGTGGCCCACCAGCTATCAGTGGACAGCCAGTGATATCAGGAGTGGAAGATTCTGGCTTGCACCATGGTGTTTGCTAAGCTTCTGTCCCAGTTCTCATCAGAACTCTACCACTAATACCACTGGGCAGATCCATGTTATAAAGAACAGGCTCTTACTGCTCCCAGAAGCTGACATTGCTTCAAGTAGTAGAAGCCAGTTAGGGCCACCTGCCTGTCACAGTTCCACTCCCCATCCCTGTGTGTGAACAGGTGTGGACAGCAAACTCCCCTGGAGCCCCCCAAAGGGGACATCTCTGAGGGTTGGTGAGACGCCTTGTGGCATCCCATCAATGCCATAAGAGATCACTTCTGTCCTCAAGGGGCCCTTGCTAAAGCCACGAGTCAAAAGCATGGTGACCCTGCACTTCCCCAGGACACCATCACCAGGGCTTGGTGAAGGTGACATTCACCATCTGCTCTCATCTGCCACCCTCCCCACTCCATGGCCCCACCTGTCACTAAGTGCCCCACCTGTACTTCCTGTTCAGAAAGGGATGCTTTGAAAAATAACTTTGCGTATCATATGTGCTAGCAATAGCCAGCCCGAGACATTGCCCATGTGTTAGAAATGCCCGTCATGGACACCGCTCTCCACCCCAGGGACAGGCAGTGGTCCCAAAGCTCAGATCAATTAGCAGGCGACAACAGAGGCTTTCAGCACCTGATGGATGCATGTGATCCGACGTCCATTGCAGAGTGTGCTGCGGAGTGTGGCCAACTCCAGAGCTCCTGATGCATTTGAGCTAAAAGTCAGAGCTTAACACCCCACTGTGTGCCTGGCATAGTGGTGCAGGCCTTTGATCCCAGCCCTCCAGAGGCAGAGGCAGGTGGATCTCTGAGTTTGAGGGCAGCCTGATCTACAGAGCGAGTTCCAGGATAGTCAGGGCTACACAGGTGGGGAATGTAGCTCAGGTGGCGGTGTTTGCCTAGTGTGACAAGACTGGGTTTCACCCACAGAACGGTATAAATTAGGAATAGTGATGGAGGCCTGTGATCCCAGGACTCAGGACACGGAGGCAGGAGGATCAAAATCATCTTTCACCACGGCAGGTGTGACGCCAACCTGGGCTTTGTGGAGTATGAGCTAGTTAGTAATGCCTTCACTCAACTCAAAGCTCACAGGCTAGAACTGATGCCATCAAGCAATGAGAGCCTCCTGTCTCTTTTCCCGCCCCCCATTTTCCTCTTCCTGAACAAGGTTATAGATGAGCCTAGGTGTGCCACACCTGCTTTCTTCACATGCGTGCTGGGAGGGTCTCACGCTTGTGCGACAGGCATGATACCAACTGAGCCACCTCCTTCGCTCTGTCTGAGTCTTTATTTGATGAAACCCTTCAACTTCTGATCCACGGCCCTGAACTGACAGATGGAATGTCCTAGCTGCATGCCTTTAATCCCAGCCAGCACTTGGGAGGCCGAGGCAGGCAGATATCTGTGAGTTCGAGGCCAGCCTGGTCTACAAGAACTAGTTCCAGGATAGGTCCCAAAGCTACAGAGAAACCCTATCTCAAACAAACAAACAAACAAAGATACTTAAAACCAGGTTTTTATTCAACACAGTCTCTAGTGGGACTGAGACCGGGGCCTTCCTGGTTGGGTTTGGGGTGGAGATCTGGCCCATGCAGCCCATGGATTTCCTAAGCCTGCCTGCAGCTCCAGGCTTAGGGTTGGGAGCCCCCTAAGTTGGTCCCCGCTAGCAGACCACATGACTCACCAGTGCCCTTTGCTTGCAGGCTCCATGCAAGTGATGAACAAGACAAGGCGCATTATGGAGCAGGGTGGGGCACACTTCATCAATGCCTTCGTGACTACGCCCATGTGCTGCCCTTCTCGCTCCTCCATCCTCACGGGCAAGTACGTCCACAATCACAACACCTACACCAACAACGAGAACTGCTCCTCGCCCTCCTGGCAGGCACAGCACGAGAGCCGCACCTTCGCCGTGTACCTCAACAGCACAGGCTACCGGACAGGTGAGGACCAGGGCGAGGGTATTGGCTGAGGGGGTCTCCTCAATGGGTAGGTGGCCTCTTGTGCCCTCAGTGAGCATCTGGGTGTGATGCCCATACTGCACGGGTGCCCACCATAAGTCTGTGTTGCAAAGAGGCCACTTGTTTGTTCCCAGTTGCTTAGCCACCCCCCCCCAAGTAATCACACAGAAACTGTATTAATTAAATCACTGCTTGGCCTATTAGCTCTAGCGTCGTATTGGCTAGCTCTTACATATTAATTTAACCTATCACTATTAATCTGTGTATCACCACGTGGCAGTGGCTTACCAGATAAAGTTCCATCTGGCTCCAGTGGGGCTACATGACTTCTCCCTGACACTGCCTCCTTTCTCCCAGCATTCAGTTTAGTTCCCCCCCACCTGCCTACCTAAGTTCTGCCCTATCAACAGGACAAGGCAGTTTCTTTATTAACCAATGTTATTCATAGCATACAGAGGGGAATCCCACATCAAGTCTGGATCACCAACAGAATGGGTTTCATCCCCCATTGAATTTCCAAGTTCATTTCTATGCGTAGAAAGTAGATGTGTCTGCAGTGGGTTCTGAAAACGACCTTCTCAAAGAAACTGGGCTTTTACAACATGGGGAGTCCAGGGAGATTGCGAATTCTCTGACAGGGAGGCCACAAGATAATCCCTGCATGAGTTTGAGGCTTGTTTCTAAAGCTGTTCAGAACTATTTTCTTGACTGAGACCAGCCATCTGCCTGAGAAAAGGTTCCAGAATATTGAGGTTGAAGTTAGAGAGGAGTAGACATGGGACTCGTGGGTACATTGTGGGAGTAACCAGGATGACGAAGGAAAGGGTTGCCATGGTGAGAGACCTTCGTCCACACTCATATGTCTGTCAGAGGTGGAATGTACTGTGTTCCTACTTGACAAAGCTTCTGTGGCAAATTCGAAAGGCCACTTACTAGGTTCGTGTCTGAGGTCATGCTATACTCCCTACCCGGCTACCTCCCCCTTGCCAAATTCTCTAGACTCAACTCACTGAACTTGCTTGAATTTAAAAAAACCAAACAAACACTCTCCTACCTTGGCAAGCAGCCTGAGCAGTTGTGAAACCAGATAATATGGCTCAGATGTTGCAAGCCCAGGGACCTACTTGCCTCTTAGTGCTAAGATATTGTTTTGAGTAGGAGTGAGGAGGGGCCAGGCACCTCCTGTAGCTGACCTGCAGCGGCTGGGGCTGGGCAGCCCCTCGGGTGCCCAGTGGGAGTGGGTGGTGCTTTTCCCTATATGCCATGCTCCTCCCACCATGGGAACCCTCCCAAAAGCGGGTTCAGCTGTAGGAACTGGCTCCTCCACATGGGCGAGCCTTGAGGGTGCAGACCCTGATGGTTTGGGGTCTTTACAGAGGCATTGTTAGAGGTCACTGCAGGCCAGTGCTTTAGATGGTTGGGAGGCCTGAACTCGCTGGAATTGGGCTAGGTGGGGACATAGCAGGGTGGCGGTGTCTATTGGAGGGCGCACCTGCCATTCAGGACTAGAAATGATACCCACACCAGCCCCAATTTGAAACCCTCAACTGTCTTTGCATTTGAAGTTTTTTTGATTGAAGTCTCTCAATGTTGAGAAGCTCAGTTTATTTATTTTTTTAAAATTGAATGCTATGAGCCAAAGAAGATGTTGTGGCTGTGGACAGGTATGGTTCACGTGTCCTCAACAGCTCTGGCTGAAATGTAAACATGGAAACCAGGTGGATAGTAAGGCCCCCAAAAGTGTTCGTCAGCCTAGTCACCTGGTAGGCAGAAAGACCACAGCCCCACAAAGGGTTCTGGAAGAGTCCTGAAATGAGAAGTTTGTGGCATGATCAAAACAGAAACTGATGACGGAGTGAAAGTCCATGTCGGAGTCACACGGGAAACAGAGAAAAGGAATGACCTGGAAAACAGACGGTCATCATGCCAGGCCTGTCATCCCAGCTGCTAGGGAGGCTGATGCAGGAGGATCGCAAGTTCAAGGTCATCAGGGGCAAATTCACTAATTGAGACTTTATCTCAAAATAAGAATATAAAACATGGGTTGAGGCTGGGGCTCACTGCTAAGATTTGTATGACACGTGTTTATTTTTATACTCCGAGTGTCCCCAGGGACAGGCAGTCAGTTGTCCTATCTGGCTGTGCGTCAGGTTAAACCCAGCATCCATGTGGCTTCTAGGGTTAGGGTTAATTCTGGCTGAGGGAATGGAGGTACCTGCTGCTTATGGCTCTCAATCTGAATCCTTTGCTGCCTTGGTGGCCTTGATCCAGGATCTGGTCCACAGCTCAGCCCCGTATTTCTCCTTACTTCCCACTGGTGAGGATGAAGATCCGTGGGCTCACATGGCTACAGAAGAACCTTAGAGATATGTAGTCTTTCCTTTAGGTAGGTCTTTGTGCTGCTGAAAACAGATCCTGAGTGGGGAGGAGACTCTCAGTCACACCTCTGTCCTTAACCATTTGTATTAGTGATGCCCTTGACTCCAAAAGGTCAGCTGAACTGAGGAAGATAGGTGCCAATGTTCACAGTGCAGAGGGCTGCTAATGGAGCCAGTTTAAAGAAAAATAATGAAGCTACAGTCAGGCTTGGTGATGCAAGTCTGTAATCCCAGCTCCCAGGATGGAGGCCAGAAGCTCAGGAGTTCAAGGATAACCTCTGCTACATACTAAGTTTGAGGCTGGTCAGGAAGAGATGAAGGGAGGAAGAGATGGATGGAGGAGGCAGGAGGGAAAAGGAAAGAAAGCTAGCTGACCCAGTATTTCATGTAACCTCCCAACACTAAGGGGTTCAAGGACAGCCTAGCTGTGGGAGAACCTATTTTAAACCAATTTTTTTTGGGGGGGGGGGGGTACTGCAGAGACGGCTCAGCAGTTAGGAACAAGCACTGGCCTTTCTTCTAGAGGGCCGAGGTTCAGTTCCCAGCACTCACATGGTGGCTCACAACCATTTGTAACCCCAGTTCCAGGGCATCCAGTGCCCTCATCAGACCTCCGTGAGCACCAGGCACACGATGGTACACATTTGTGCATGCAAGCAAAATGCTCATGCACATAAGATAAACGAAGAAAGCACTTTTTGAAAATAATTTCTAAGACAGAGACTTGCATATGCTCCTCCAAATCATTGTATTTCCAGGACTGAACTTGAACTTTTGATCCAACTGCTCTACCTCCCTAGTAAATGTGGTGCTGTGTGAGCCCCCACATGCTAGGGGAGCACTCTACCAACTGAGCCCCACCCCAGCCCACACTGTTAATGAAGGTTTAGCACTAACTGCAATGGGTTGATGTTTGAAGCACGCAGACTATGAAGTCTCTGTTGGACAACATGTAATTCGTGCCACAAATGTCAGGTGTCGTGACATGAGGTCCTCTCATGTCCTCATCTCAACACGTTTTCCCAGGGATCCGAGGAGCCTGGCTCTCTCTGAGGACCCCTCTGGCCCCTGTTGACAGCTGAGTCTCCCCCAGGCTGTGTGTGTTACCTCGTGGCTGTGTTTGACAGCGTGCTTGGCTTATTGTCGGTCACTGGTCCGGTAGTCTTCTGGCGCCACTCCAGTTAACTTCATGTCCCGCCTCTCTTAAAAGACCAGCAGGCTCCACTGCTCAGTCACCTTAGCCTGCGTCTGGATCATCCATGTTTGTGAGGGACAGACAAGGGTTGAAGCCAAAGGTGCTGGGTTTCAGCACGATAAACATCCACTGATTAATGCAAGTTTCTGGCTATGGCTCCCGTCAAATCAGAAGCTTGCATATCCTGTATATAAGCACCCGCAGCCTGTTCATCATTTCCCTGTGTTCCTGGTCCTCGGCCCCCTCAACCCAGGGTGAGCCACCAGCAGTCCTAGTTGTGTTGCATGTCCCCAGCGTAAATCCCTGACAAGACACAGTGGGCTCTGGGGGAGGTAGGGAGACTGGAGCACCGAACTCAGATTTCCAGATACTGCTGTGGGGGATAAAGAGCCTTTTCCAGCACTTTCTAACAGCCAGATACAGCTAAGGTCTTCCCTCTCCATACAGCCATCTGAGTTCAGCAACCCCACATGGTCCCATGGCTGCTAGACTGTAGTGGCAATGGTGGTGCACCCTGTGCACCCCCACACACATGTTCTAGAATGTTTCTGGGGAACCTGGAGCAAACCATTCATTAGACGCTCGCATTTTGTCAGGCTCTCCTTGGGGTGCTGTCTCACTTAGGGTTTCTATTGCTGTGAAGAGACAATGACCACGGCGACTCTTATAAAGGAAACCATTTACTTGAGGTGGCAGCTTACAATCCAGAGGTTCAACCCACTATCCTCATGGCGGGGAGCATGGCGGCATGCAGGCAGACATGTTGCTGTCTACATCATGATCAGAAGGCAACAGGAAGTGGACTATGACACTGGGAGTGTCTTGAGCATAAGAGAGCTCAGAGCCCACCCCCACAGTGACACACTTCCTCCCACAAGGCCACACCCACTTCAACAATGCCACACCTCCTAATAGTGCTGCTCCCTATGATATGGGAGCCAATTACATTTAAACGACCACAAGCGCTGTTTTCAGATTGTACTATGTAGCCCAGTTCTTTTCGTTCTTCTCACAGAGTTGGGGAAGGACACCGACTGAGGACTTAGGTTCCATTATTGACTGTGGGTGGTCGCCACCCTGTAGCCTTGGTGTGCTAATACCTGCAGAGGCCAGCCTGTGGAGGGTTTGGTACTAAGCACCCTGACAATCACTGCTACATAAAGGCAGACGTGTGTGCATATGGCCCTGAAGAGGCTTCAAGTCAGAAGGACACCCACCATATTACTTTCCCTCTGTGACAGCCCCCTCTGCTACCTCCTTGTCCTACTGTGAGCCCCATCAGACTGTGTCCACCTGTGCATTGGCATCTCTCTTAGGGTCCTCATGTGTCAAACTCACGTGCCCGATTTGCCCTCTGGCATCTCTCTTAGGATCTCCATGTGTCAAACCCACCATGCCCAGCCTTCCCG